TGGCATATGGCAGGTCTTCAAACTCCAGCATTCGACTCCAAGAAATGACTTCTGTCGCATAGCGGCAAAAAACGGGATACTTCTTAGGCTGGTCAATACTCTTCATAGCTTGAATGAAGCAACAAGGTTTGCTTCCATCTCCGGGTCTGGTGCTTCAGTAACACAGAATGGCTCCACCCCCAGGCGAAGGTCTGGTCAATTAGATCCGCCAATGCTAGAAATTTCCAAAACGAGGCTGGATCATCACCATTCATCTGGTTCACTGCAATCTTTACAAGCAGATGCAGATAGGCATCATATCATAATGGATCCTTCAGCATCGCCTAGATTCACCGATATGGCGGCTGCTGGTCACATGGAGAGAAATGATAATGATCCCATTAGGCCACAACGGCTTAGTGTTTCTGCAGGAAGGACATCAACAGATAGATCACCAAAGCATATAGAGCTAGTATCAAATGGGCATAGTAGTGGTCAAAATGATCAAATTCGTCCCCTACTGAGCCTGTTGGAGAAAGAACCACCCTCTCGGCATGTATCTGGACAACTTGATTATGTTCGCCACTTATCTGGTCTAGAAAGGCATGAAAGTATTTTGCCATTACTGCATGCTTCAACAGAGAGGAAAACTAACGGCGAACTTGACTTGTTAATGGCAGAATTTGCTGGTATGCTTAATTCCTCTCTCTTCATCACTCAGCAGTTATGATTACCATGTCTTGGGTCATGTGGGCTATTTATTCATCTGCCTTTTATGAACCCAATATACACAGTTTTTGTTTTGACTGTTCTAAACTCTGTTTGTAGAATTCGTATAGCAGTATTTAGGACTATAGAATACTGTGTGTAGTTAGTGCGAGGTGGTTAGGTACGAGGGAACAACCTTTCTTTATGCACTTATTGTTCTTTCTATTTCATGCAGAGGTCTCTAGACAGGGAAGAGAAAATGGTAACCTTGATTCCAACATAAAAACTTCAAATAGGGTTCCAAGCATGAAATATGCACCATCATCAGGTCCAACAACTTCTAATGAGGGAGCATCAACATCTGGAGCTGCATCACAGACAGCATCTGGTGTGTTATCTGGATCAGGGGTGTTAAATGCAAGACCGGGAAGTACAACATCATCTGGCCTATTAGCTCAGATGGTATCTATGAGTGCTGACGTGGCACGTGAGTACCTTGAGAAAGTTGCTGATCTTCTTTTGGAGTTTGCACAAGCAGACACTGTCGTAAAATCTCTCATGTCTAGCCAAAGCCTTCTTGCACGGCTTTTCCAGATGTTTAACAAGATAGAACCGCCTATTCTTCTTAAGGTAAAACTTCAAGCATTTTAGTGACTTAGTGTTGCTACTTTGTGACTGATTTGTTTGTGTTTCTGTTTCTGTTCTTGAACCATCTTTCCTTTTCTGCAGATTCTTAGGTGCATTAATCATTTGTCGGGTGATCCTAATTGTCTCGAGACACTCCAGCGCACAGATGCAATCAAGCATCTGATACCGATTCTTGAACTTCATGATGGCCCTCTAGTTTATCAAATACATAGTGAGGTGGGTAGTTTCTTTTTAAAGGCTTTTCTTATGCTATGTGCTTTAAACATACGGAGTTGGCTGCACATGTGATTATATCCTGTTGCTTTGGATGAATTTTTAGATGCTTACTCGTTTTCTTTTTTTTAAAAAAAAATGTTTTTTATCCTGGTTTTCTCCCTCTTTTGAATAGTAAAATTTCTGTTGCTTTTTAAAGAAGAGTTTATGTTATCTCTGGCAGACAAACAGAGTCTAGATGAGCAAACTAGTGAACTTATGCTTGCATTTTATTCAACCATATCATTATTCATTAGGTACAGTGTACTGGAATCAAATAGACAAAACCATGATATTATAAAGTAAATATGGTACTCCCTCTGATTCCAAATGTCAGTGATTTTAGACTTCTGCACAAGAATTAAGAAAAGAACTCAAAATGACTTTGATGCCCTTCATTTATACATTGGAAAAGATGAATCATTTGTTTGTAAAACGGGTAGTAGCATTTATTTAACAATGACAAACATGTAAGAACAGATGAAAAATTGCATAGAAGTTCTAAAACAGCTTATGTGTAGGAAAGAGTTGAGAAGGCTCAAACAACTTACATTGGGATCGTAGGAGTAGAAAAACGAATGGTGACATCGCAAAATTACAATGGCTTGTGCAACTGCACTTTTTCTGGAATTCGCAAACTTTGTGTTAGGGACAAATGTCAAGACAGTTGGCTATTCAGAATTTGAAATAGGTCTGCACGATTTCTCAGCACATTATAACTCTATGCAATTTTTTGCTGTTTTAGGTCCTCAATGCTCTGTTCAATCTTTGCAAGATCAATAAAAGAAGACAGGAACAAGCAGCTGAAAATGGGATCATCCCTCACTTAATGAATTTTGTCATGTCAGACTCACCTCTCAGGCAATATGCTTTACCTCTGCTGTGTGATATGGCTCACGCTTCTCGCAACTCTAGAGAGCAGTTGAGGGCTCATGGAGGATTGGATGTGTACTTGAACTTATTGGAGGATGATGCATGGGCGTGTACTGCGTTAGATTCAATTGCTGTTTGCTTGTCCCATGACAATGATCACAGAAAAGTGGAACAAGCCTTGTTGAAGAAAGATGCCATTCAGAAATTAGTGAAGTTTTTTCAAGACTGCCCTGAACAATATTTTGTTCATATATTGGATGCTTTTTTGAAGATAATCACGTAAGACCAAAGAGTTACCTTCCTTTTTGATGACATTATATAATATGAACATGACAGGATACAGAATATTGAGACATGCAATTGCATTGACTTGACTACAGGAAATCTTCTCGGATAAATACAGCAATGGCTACCAATGGTTTAACGACACTGCTTATTGCAAGGCTTGACCACCGAGAAGCTATTGCCCGTTTGACACTGCTAAAATTAATAAAGGTTTGCATTCCTCGCTTTAAATTTCTGGTTACATGGTTTTAATATATCAACCTTCTACTAGCAGTGATCAAATAAGTCTAGAATTTCATTTTACTCAATATCAACGATATGTTTAATGTACCTTTGTAAAGTTTGAACTCCATGATTTAACGTTCGATTGTTTGGAATTGCTTTCAGGTTGTCTATGAGCATCATCCTCGACCAAAGCAGCTCATAGTTGAGAATGATCTTCCTCAAAAGCTACAAAACCTGATCGAAGAACGAAGGGATGGGCAACGTGGCGGTCAACAGGTATTGGTGAAACAAATGGCCACCTCGTTGTTGAAAGCACTGCACATCAATACAGTACTGTGATTTGTCTCTCGGCCATTGTGTATTTTTCCTCTCAAGTTGTATATGTTCGCCCCGGAGGAAAAGTTTTGTTTCTTCTTTCGCTGCCTCTTTTGTACCTGTGGTTTCCCTGGCGTGAGAGCCAGTCTGTTGCACGCCTGATCCCTCTTTTATCGGGAGAAAGGTTCAACGTTCGGGTGCTAGATACAAAATGGGTTCCTAGAGCCCTTCTTGGTCGTTTATATTTAGTGTACTATTAGTGATAATTGGTGTAAATTAGTTTTCCCCAGTTTCCTTTTTAGAACTCATGTAGACTTTCTTGCATCTGATGTTAGTAAAATTTTGCTCTAGGTGTGCTGGCTATTCTTATCCTTAGCCTGACTTCATGATGTTTCTTTCTTTGTGAGCATGTTTCCACCGGTATGTTTATGACTCTGTGTGAATTACTGAACAACGAACAGGAAAAGAATTCATTCATCCCAAACGGGACAAGTAAAATTATTTCAGGCGCAGCCATGGGCGCATTTCATATGAAAAAAGTCATTCCCACGAACGTGTGACGGAAACAGATGTCTGAAAACTATGAACGAAATCACCATTAAAAAAAACTCCTGATGTAACACACAAGATACACAGCATTGCTTTGCATATCACTGCTTGTCTTTGAAAACGGCACGAGTATTGGAGCGTACACTAACGAGAAAATTCCCAGCATACAGGAATGCGGTTTATTCAGTTTCATAACAGTGGGTATCGAAATCAGATATGCTCATAACAGATAACCAAATTTCAGCCTAAGCGCTTTGAGCTCCGTGAGATTTCCAGAGTTTGGTCCATTCCTCCATTGCATCAGCAGCTTTAGCGAAGATTGCATTCTGCGGTCCCAGTTTCTCCTTGACAATGCTGGTTAGTTCCTTAACACAGTCTTCAACAGTAACTGAAGTACTCGATAGCTTCAGAGATTCGAAGAAGGGAAGAACGACGTCCATGACTTTCACCCCTTCCCATTCTTTCAAGCTCTCGAGAGCCTTACCTGCTTCTGCATCACTTCTCATCACATAAGGAAGACCTGTCTTCACGCCATACCGTAAGCGATCACACACCACTTTAGCACACAAGCCATTCCAAACGTCTTCAAGTGTATCCCATCTGTGCTTTCCTTCCTTGCGCAGCCGCAGAGCAGGGAACATTACAGGTCCCAGCACCTCACGGTTGAATGCAACATTTATCCCGCTCACAGGCATCATCGCACCAAGTGGAACTGTCATCACAGCATCCACATACGTTGTGTTGCGTTGATTTCTCTTCACAACATGAGTCATTGGGTCATAGTCTGCATTGTGAAGCCACAGCCCACAAGAGAGCATGCACTCAACCCCCTCGCGCAGACTAAATGGGTATCCACGGACAAAGTCAGCCCCTTTGCGGAATGGATCATACAATGTGTTGAAAAAGAAAGGTGTAGCAGGTGTCTTCAGATTGGACATATGCTGTGCAACTGCATCAACAGTCAACCCACCATTGTCCTTCGCTGGGAGGCAATTGTCATCAATTGAGATGACATACTTCTTGCGTGAGACAAGGTACCCAAAGTAACGGCATGAGTGACCAGAGAAGTCGATGGATGTGGCTCCAAGCACTCCCATATCTGACTTCGTATAAACCTTGAGATCAAAACCTGTAGGGATTTGAAGCTCCTCAGCCATATCTGGATCTTTGACAACAATGATGTGGAACCGAGAGAAAAATGGCCTCCATGCCTCAAAGAAAGTAGTCAGGTTGGGCTGGAGTGCTGCAATCACAATGTCGACCTCACTGTCCTGAATTTCCAAAGACATCTTTTCTCAGGTAACCAAGACTGACCTAATCAGTGTCACTTCTAGAACTTCTCAGAGCACCCTACAGCCAAGAGGATAGCGTGTCAAAAACCAAGATCTTTTGACATAAATCACATGACAATCAAATAGACAGAGATAAGCTGATGAATAACATACTCGTGGGAAGGACCGGTACAAGCGGCTGCTTAATGTTGAGCAACTGAACAAGCAAGGCGATTTCCTCGCAATCCGTTGCCAGAAACAACTTCAGGACTTTTTCTGTCAGCTTACCGGCAGCTATAGTTCTCTGCCAACAAAGATGCCTTCAGAGATTAACAAAATATAATAGCAAAACTATTACTTTCAGTTTGATCTATCATAATAATAAAAAAAAAAGTGAGTAGGATCACAACTACGAGTCTAAACCCCAGCTCATGGCCAAATGTTCATAAACCCCCATCCATCCTCTCAGCAAAATTGACAGGTTCAACGTAGCATCATCAGACCACTTGGTAATCAAACATGGGCCGCATTGGGCACCTCGTGTGATATGATCTAAATCTAAACACAAAACAGGTGGTGCAAATCACCTCTTCCCATTTCCCAATCCGATAAGTTCCACTAATTGCGCGCACGATGTACCACATATATAACCTAGTCTCATTAATCTCATCAATCTAAGCAGCCAATTGCCACAGATCAGCCAAACCAACCAACATAAACAATAATAGGAAATACCACAACACAACACTGCATCCGAGCATCGGGACGAGAGGGGCAAAGGGGGGATCAATCGAGCGAGCGATGGTGTGGGGGTACCTACACGGAAGAGGTCGATGAGGAGGTGGTCGGGGAGGCGGGAGAGGTCGTGGAGGTGGGCGATGCGGAGGAGCGCGGAGTCGAGGGTGAGGGAGAGCAGGGAGGGGGGGCGCATCGGCGCCAGATCTGGATCTCGCGCCCCCTCTTTTATAATCCCCACGCTTCCGTTGCAAGCAAAGCGCGCGCCACGTTGCGCCCGCTGCCTCGATCCTCCTCCTCCTCGCTTCCGCTCTCCCTCTTCCGCTTGCCGGCAATCGAGGAGGAAACGGATCGGCGACTTTTTTTTTTTCCTTCCCTTGTCCTTTTTGGCCCCCCCAACTCTTGTGGAATTTTTCCACCGTCCTCCACTTCCTGTAACCGTACGAGCGCTGGGTCGCGGGCTGCGTGGGCGTGGTCACCGACAGACAGCCCACAGACGGCCCAGCGTGATGGATTGATGGATGGGGCCTAGGATGATCTCACCAGGCCGTCCCGCGTCGATGGGTCCGTGTCATGTCTGCATTCTTCGCCTACTATAGAAAATGGGAATACTATAATACTAAAAAAATCTAGATAAAAGTTATAGTATTAGTATGTGCTATATTATAATTTATTTATTTTAGGACTAGTTATAATAACTATTTTTTCGTTCAAAAATAAATAAACTTATGATAAGAATATAGATATATAACTATTCAGCATTTTATTTTATGTTTGTTTGTTTTAGAACGGAAGAAATGTTACCTTGACAGTTGCTATTCGGATTGGTCATTTGAATTACCCATTATCTGCTGGGTGCCACGTTACGGTAGAACTTCGTAGATATTTTCCTTTTAAGCACAAATAATCGAAGCTGATGCAGAGCCTACTAGTACACGAATATACACGTGTGAATGCTCTCAGTTGATGATCGTGACTTATCGACAAAAGGACGCTGAATTTCCTCGAGCATTCATACCATCTACCGACATTTCTGTCGAACCGGTGGAGTAGATTAACAAAGCTATTAACGAACGAGTTAAGCATGGACAGCTTTTCTAAAACAGCAGGGATTGCTGGAAATGGATTCAATTTTTGCCAAAAAGAAAGGAGCCACCTTTTATTATCAATATTTTATTTTAGATCGTCCTTTAACTAATATTATTTTAATTAGACGGAGTAGACTTATCTATGTTTCACTTTGAAACATCAGACTCTTTTCTCAGGTATATGAACAATCTTGATTATGTTGGCTCTTATTTATCAATGAACTTTCACACATGTATACGTAAGACTATTTCTTTGGTTTATAATAAGTTGAATGTAGATGAATAAAAAAGTTAAATATGGTCTAGAGTACTTAAAAAAAATAAAAAAATCTGATTCAAAGTACTATTAAGAAAAGATGGTTTAAAGCGAAATAACCTAAAGTAAAATTTACTTAAAAGTATTGGTAAACCCAGAAAAGTTTGGAAAGACGGCGCAGCGCAAGCAGGCCCGCGTGCGTGCCCAAGAGTACAGGCCCGGTCCACGGAGGCCGGAACAGAAGGAAAGCACAGCCGTCGTCTTCTCGCCTCCGCTGTCCGCTCCCCCCCCCCCCTCCTTCCAGCCAGGCTGCCGCCCGTCCGTCCGCCCCCGCGCACCACGCGGCGTCTCGTCCTCCTCTCATCGGACCACCAAATTTGCAGCTCGCCTCCACCTCCACCTCCACCTCCACCTCCTCCGCCTCCGCCTCCGCCTCCAAACCCTAGCGCCTCGCCGCCCACCGACCCCCGCGCTTCTCCTCCATCCATGCGCCCCCGTCTCGTCGCCGCCGCCGCCGCCGCCGATCATGGCTGCCTCTAGGGTTTCCCGGGCCCAGCCATGGTGATCTCATCCCCGCCAACGAACCACTCTTCTGCATCGGTAAGTCCCCGTTGGCCCCCCACCCCCGCCCACCTCTCGCTCGCTTCTATGACCTCGAGGGGATTCGATCTCCTCGCCCCTCGCTCGCGGATGCGCGGAGCCCAATCGCGTTGCTAAATCCGAACCTCTAATGTGAGTGTCTCTCCAGCTTTGTACGATTCGCCCGAGCCTGGATCCCGCCTTCATTGACGCGCCCGCTGTCCGGGAACACCATGATGTCGAGGTCAGCTCCGCAGCTCAAAATCTACTGAGCTTATTGGTGCTTAATTTGGTGCAATGTAGAAGTGTAAATGGTTTTCCTGTTGCTTCCAGGTTTATGCAAATAGGGAAGAGCAGAAAACTAGTTCATGATGTATTGGTTAACTCGAAACCCAATAGTTTCACTGCACATAACATTGGATCCAACTTTGCGTTCGGTTTGGCACATACAGGCAGGGCCTGTTTGCACGGGAAGGTTCCGCATGGACCGGGCACGTCATCCATGCTTGGAAGAGCAAAGGAGAGTTTATACCGGAATCCAGCTGCAAGAAACTTTTCAGTTCTCTCAACATGTAGCCAGAATGCATTTCATGGTCAACTTGCTTGGAAGCAACTCATGACAATCGGTTCTCATGTACCAAAGGCATCTCCGATTTTAAGTAGGGTTGCTTGTGCCATTAGCTTGGCTGCCACTAGATCTAATTTAGTTCCTTACCTCTTTGCTTTCGTTGCTGGGGAGATAATGCTAGCTCAGAAGACCAGTGCAGACGGAGAGTACTTACCAATTCGTGATAGTCTTTACACGCGTGCTCAAGATGGTCGTATCTATGTCACCTCCTTGATATTTTCAGCAGTAGAGCTGGTCATCATAATCTTCAGATCAATATATTTGGCATTGTTGTTCACTCCAAGTATACTCATGGCCCCATTTGCAGATACTCTTGGCAGTAAGTACAGGAAAACATGGCTCCGTCTTGTGCATCGTACCCTGGAGAAAGCAGGTCCTGCATTTATTAAATGGGGCCAATGGGCTGCTACTCGCCCTGATTTATTTGAAAGTGACCTCTGTGCTGAATTGTCAAAACTACACACAAAAGCACCTGCTCACAGCTTTGCTTATACCAAGAAGACTGTTGAGAAAGCTTTTGGTCGAAAGCTATCTGATCTTTTTGAGAATTTTGAAGAAGAGCCTGTTGCTTCTGGAAGTGTTGCTCAAGTGCACCGAGCTGGTTTGAGATTCCGGTATCCTGGCCAGCATATAAAGCGTGTAACAGTTGCTGTAAAAGTAAGACATCCTGGCGTAGGAGAATCAATACGGAGGGATTTCACTATCATTAATGCAGTAGCTAAAATTTCTAGATATATTCCTACATTGAATTGGTTGCGGCTGGATGAGAGTGTGCAACAGTTTGCTGTCTTTATGATGTCTCAAGTTGACCTTGCAAGGGAAGCTGCTCATTTGAGCCGGTTTATCTACAACTTCCGAAGGTGGAAGGATGTGTCTTTTCCAAAACCTCTTTACCCACTTGTTCATCCTGCTGTATTGGTTGAAACTTATGAGCAAGGTGAGAGTGTTGCACACTATGTCGATGACCTCGATGGACATGATCGAATTAAAAGCGCCCTTGCACATATTGGCACTCATGCTCTCCTGAAAATGCTTCTGGTAATGCTTTCAGCCATCTCTTAGAATTGTCATTATTGTTTTGCGTTTGGAGATGAGAGCATGTATTTCATTTGAGTGAAACAATGAAATGTTATAGCATACCCTTTTGATGAATGATGACTCTTGTGTCTTATGGTCTATTTCTGGGTTACTGTTTATGCTGTGAGCCCGTGAGTTCAATTGAGCATTGTTGCATTTAACCTCTAAATTGAACTGCCTGTTTATAAAAGTTCAGTGCTTGTTTAGAAACATCTCTGGTTCATATTGATATAGGTTAGCAAAGACATTCAGCACAACTGTCACTTCACTTCTCTAGACAAAACTAATCCAAATATATCTTTACACAAGTTTGAAACCAAGGATTTGAAAATATGCAAAATGTGACATATTTTGGAAAGATAAAGGGTTTCAATATTTTGTTTTATGCATATAATATCACTTTAGCTCCTTCGTTCTTAGTTTCTTACAGAACTATTGTGTATGCAATTCAACACAATATTAAAAGATCATTATTTTTATTATTATTTTGGTCCAAATTGATGAACCTCACTGGACCTTGACCATCTCTCTTTAGTACATTCTATTTGCTAGTTACACATAGGCACTTAACATTTTAGGGCTTTTAATTATGGTTAGTTTTCACCACGTTGCAGCATTGTTAACATCCACCTTTTGCAGGTTGATAACTTTGTTCATGCGGATATGCACCCTGGAAATATTTTGGTCCGTGTTATACAACCAAGGAATTCAAATAACACCCTTTTGAAGTCTAGGCCACATGTAGTATTCCTTGATGTAGGAATGACTGCTGAACTTTCAAGTAATGATCGTGTGAATTTACTGGAATTTTTCAAGGCTGTTGCACGCCGAGATGGTCGTACAGCTGCAGAACGTACACTGAGGTTATCAAAACAGCAAAACTGCCCAAATCCAAAAGCCTTCATTGAGGTAATTATTATTTCTTGTCACTGGTCTGTTTCTTGGCAGTAACACCTCTGCTTTTCCTTGTTGAGGTCCTCGGTGCACCCTTTAGTCAAGATAATTATATTGCTGCTATAATAGGTGGTATATGCATCTTTAAGATATGAATTGATGGCAAGATGTATTTGGGCACTGTACCTTGCTGGAAAGCACCTGGGATGTTTAAATTTTGAGTAAATTTCATAAAACCCCATCTATATGGTCCAAGATGCAGAAAACTATAGTGCTTTTGACAAGTGGCACATAACCTCGTGTAGGTACTAAAGTTTCACAAAACCACACCGTTAACCATTTTGGCATACTCCTATATCAAAATTTTAAAAACCGGATATAACAGTTATACGATGGATTAAAAAACTCATAAATTTGAGATGTGATTGTATAACCCCATCAAGTGTGGTTTTGTGAAACTTTAGGACCATAATACCTGGGGTTACATGCCACGTGCCAAAATCACTGTGGTTTTGTGCAACTTGGACAATATTATGTGGGATTTTATGAAATTTACTCTTAAATCTTAGGTGTTCTCTTTACTCTCTTGTTGACAAATTGCGCCACTACATTAAATTGAATTGTTATAATACCTGATATTAATTAATTTGCTGATGCATTATGGGTTTGTGCTTATATTTAATGTGAGTCCTGTGAGTTTTTGGTCAACTATTTGGTGGTTTGATACTAACATGAAATATAGTTACCTTATATTTGGTGTTAGTAAAGTATACATTTTAGATGCATGCATTTCTAGGTCCAAACTTTCGGTGCACTTGAATATTTGCCTCAACTCATCAACATGAAC